GGGCGAATGTTGCGGAGAAATGGCAAAATTGAGACCTTTAGCTAATACTTTCTTTTCAGGTTCAGTGAGATTCCGGTCTGAAAGGTTCTTCACCCATTTTATAAAGTTTATAAAGTCGTAAATTCTCCATGTCCCACTGTTAGCTAGATTGCATTTTGCGTTGCAGCATTGTGCCACCGAGTCTGTGTAGTGGACTTTCTAATTAGGGCTGATATTGTCACTGATTTCTACAACTCGTTCAATTCTGATTCGCAAAGGTCATGATTTGATTTGCCTCAATTTGATTTTGAAATATTATAAATATATTATTATATTATAATATTATAATTGTGATCATTTATCATTGTATCTTGTTGTACTGTATAATGATTCAACAATTCTTTGATTAGAAGTATAAGGTAGCATAAGATATAATAAGATGTAACAATCTCACAACCTCGAAGCGTGAGGAGACAGAGAGCAGGGCATGACAGACAGACGGACCAACATCCTCGTATACACTATATACACACAGACAAGGAAACAAAGAAATGGCAGTTAGGCAGGGAAAACCAGCTGACACTAATCAGATGAGACAAGACTGGGAGGAAGCAAAAGAGAGTAGACACCGGGGAGACAGAGGCCTGAAACATGGGACAGGAAGGCACAGAGCAGACACAAAACGGAACAGGAATAGAGCTAGAAATACTTGAACAGAAACCAAAACACTAACATTGATAACCATGAAAAACAAATAATCAAGAAACAAATTAAACAGGTATAAAACACTGGGTCACCGATCCAGGACCGTGACAATTTCTCTGCAATTACACACTCAGTGTAAACTATCTAGGATTAAAAGCAAAGCTGACAGTTGTGAGACTTAATCAGAGGTTCAAGGATCACAGCAGATGCCTTCGTGTCAAAGTAACTGAGAATAAAACTGAAAAATATCAAGATTCTTTTTGGCCTGGTCTTTTACAGCATTATGACCCCCTTGAAAACAATCTGCAGGAGATCAAAAACTGAAGGAAACCATGAATTAACATTTGACGATTATCTGATGCTGCTGAAGCGAAGCAGAGCAAAGTTAGAAGTTTGTTAGAGACACAGATAAGCGTTTTGCAATTTAGCATAAGTTGTAATAGTTGAAATTTCTTTGTTATTGAAAAGCAGAAATTAGGTTTTCCTGTTAGAGCTAATTTTGGGAAAATAAATAAAAATTTAAAAAAAACCAGCGGCCGACAGTGCTCTACACAACGGTAGACTGGTGGGTAATAACAAAGAGAATCACGCAGAAAAATAGAGATTTTTAATGGATTTTTAATGGGTTTTCTCGTGGTGGAAGCAAGACAACCAAAGTAAGATGGAATTCATGACAATGTTTTTCAAGTGTAGTTTTGATCTTCTTTTGCTGTTGGATCAGTGAATTTTGGACAGAGTGACATAGCCTGCAGCTTTGCAGTCTGTGAGATTGCAAATCTGTCAGCTTTCAGCACCCAAAGGCGTGTTCTTTGTTGCCAGACTAACCGCAATTTGTGTTCAGATATTTATGTGGAAACCATTTACCTGCTCTTCAATCGTTTGCTGTTTTAGCAGTTTAGTGGGTGTTGAAATACTTTTGTGAGCTTTTAGCTGAGATTCTGGCATTTCTGGCAAAATTCATTTATATTTAAAAATGTATTTCAGGACTTAATGAATCGATATTATTCAAATGAAAATCGATTTGAAATGGGAAATCAAGTTTTTAAACCCACCCTATTTCTAATTCTTGAGTCATTTTTTGGATACGTACGTGTAAAACCTTTGTAAATAGTTAGTTAGTTATAATAGTTACAAACTTGCCAATGACAGCTGTAGTTTCAATAAACGACTCATCTGAGAAGAAACAATGTTTTTGGTGCTGCATTGACAACAGAGAGACATACGATTTGGGTATGTACCGGAGTTCGACCCCACCGTCTTTCTGTGCATTCCATTTCTTTTCTTTAGCAGTCACATAGATCAGTGGTATGGTCTCGGATGAGGGCCTTGCACGGTACAGTGATGTACAGCAATGTACAGCTATAGAGGATGTGCCTGACTAAGTGAAGGATCATTCTTGCTTAGGAGCCTGGAAGATGAAGGCATCATATTCAAGGATCCAGCTTAGTCCAAGGCCAAGCTGAAGAGGTGAAGAGTCTGTCCCTATATCTAAGTCCTTTTCCAGGTCATCAGCTGGAATGCATCCATCACTTTGCTACTGTTTGAGGCAGTTTTGTGTAGCTGTAAATTTGACTTAGCTAATATCTTCTGTATTTTCTTTGGAAGACTGACAGCCTCAATTTCTGTCAGAAGTGAGGTCAGATAATCGTTAGCATAGACACTCAAGATAACAAATTCCTTTGGTTTTTCTGCTTCTCCTGACTTTTCTTCACCCATAGTTGCCCGATTATGTGATCATTTTCACCCTTGTTAAGGATTTAGTTGAGGTTTTTTCTCATTCTTTTTCCCCTGTCCTGTCCCGCTAGTGTAGCAATCATAATTTGTGTCTGAAGGACAAAAATGCATTTGCTATATTGGTCCACTTGATAGCCATATTTTAAAGAAATATTTTTAGGATTTCTTTTACATTTAATTATTACAATCACAATGTAAAAGACTCGGGGCAAGAAAAGAAAGAATAAAGCTGTGGAGAAACTTAAAAGAAGGAGATGGAAGGAAAAAACACTTAGAATCTGCTTCAACACCTACTGAAAATAAATAAATTTAAAAAAATCAGAGAAAACAAAGCAACAACCAACATAAGCATAAACAACAGTAAATAATATATGTTAATGAACAGCACACAGTACTAACAATACCAGATACATTTAGAGGCAGTAGCCAACCGAGACAGCGTGAGTCTGTGAGCACCTGCTTGTACAGCTGTGTGGGTGACTGCGCTTGTATTCAAAGGTTAAAACACAATGGCCACGAAGGACATTGTTGAATGGACTTTGAGTTTCATTTTTCCGTTTCCAGAGTTTCAAGCTCTGCAGTGTTATTTGTGTTGACCCAACTGAAAGAAACTCAGTCCAAAGAGCCTCCGTTCAGTCATTAAGAGGTGCACAGAGGGGCAGGTAAGACCTTCCAGTTTTCTACAAGTCCTTTTACATAAACTTAGTGATTAGTACTTTTTGTACCTGACACTAGAGGCAGTTTGCAAAGAGAAAGCTTTGACTTTATAATTTATTGGATTACATGGGTGTACACGCAGTGTGTTTTGTTTGTTAGCCCTCTTTCGAGAAGCAGAGGCCATCATGAGGGTGTGGCTGTAAAACGTTAAGGTTTATATGAACTGAAACAACAAAAAAAAAGACTCAAATGTGTATAACAGTATCGAAGTTCTTAGAAAGAGATAGGTTTACTTTTTAATAGCCTGTGTTTCTAGTGTTGTTTTTTAAATTATTATTCCCAAAGGCAAACCACATACCGAACTCCAGATTCTAAGCTGTGTGTTGTAGAGGACAGTTAAAGTAGATTAGTGAGCTTGGAAAGAAAAGCGTCTGGAGTTCTTTAAGTTTCTTGAAGATGTTTCACATTTCATTTGAGAAGCTTCAGTTCTGAACTGAACTGAAGAAGCTTCTACGATGACCTGGATGACTGAGAACGGTCACAGAGACAGTTAAAGTACATTAAACTGTCTGAACTGTAAGCGTAATAGACTTTCACTTCCAAACCAGTCTACATATCCTGTTCAGGAGAGAGTTGTTTACCCATGCGTTACTGTACTCGTGTTTCAAATTACAAAAACCCATCTTTCTGAGATATATCAACCATGTATTGCTGTTTGTTTTTAAGTCACTTGGATGTTTATAGAAAGCTTGTTTTTCCAACATCCCCAAATTCTTGTTCATGGTGGATGTTTAGATGTTTCTCTCTGTAATGCTCTAGTATATTTACCTTGTTATATAAAATGTCCTGTAAATTATGGATATATTAATAAAGCTTAATTGGAGAATTAAAAGATTACTAAAGAGATCGACGGCATATACCTTTTGGCTGTAGTTTGAAAGAAAGTGCTCCAAAATTTTAACTTTCATTTAATTTGTACTTTTAATTTTAATTTTATTTTGTTTTTTCTGCTTCTCGACTTTCACAGAGTGATCGTTCAGTGTCTGTGGGTGAAGTTC